CTGTGCCTGGTCCTGTACATCATCGGGCTGATCGCCGCCGTGCCCCTGTCGCTGTTCCTGGGGCGCCCTTAGCTGTAGGGACTGATAGATGTTTTGTTAAGTTTTAATATACATTTCTTTTGTGTGAAACCTTTAATCGGACAGGAATGTATTGGTCAGCTAGATTATTGATACATAGATCAGAGATTTTCCTATATCAAATAAGTAATCGAGATTTTTGTCTACTTCTTGTAAAGAAAAACTTTGCATGACAGTTGTATATGGTACAATGTATATCAACGGCTATTGGACATAGTACAAAAAAAGAAAAGGGTATGTAATGAGAATTAATATCCTAATTACTAAACATCAAGAGCTAATATAGTATACAGTCAAGTAGGGCTTATCATGTGTTTCTCCATTTTTTTCTAATACCAAAAAAGTCTTTTATGTTTTTACCTATCTTTGCACTGTAAAAGTTGTTGTATTTTATCATATTTATATATACATCTGCCCAAAGCATGCATCGGGTCTGTTGAAATCTATTGTACTAGATTCGATAAATGTGAATGCAGTACGTCTGTAAAATGTATGGTACTGTTCTTTTATGCTTTTTTTTACAACTAATCGGGCCAGACTATGCTTTTGTGTACTTACAATATACCTCGCTATGTTGGTAGTGAGGTCAGCAGTCTGAGAATTTTCAATACAACGTATATGATTCTGCTTACTTGTGACACGCAGCTTACAATCAACGTCCATACTGTTGTCGTCATGGGCAGGGTATATATGGATGACTTATATAGGATGTAAGGTCAAGTTTTTTGTCAGATGTTATGACTTTGTACAAAAGTAGTGAACTGCTTACATAGATACGGTCAGCTGTTCATGATAATTTGAGACTGTATAGGCAGGTTTGTGCGGTTCTTGCCAATGAAAGCCTGTATATTTACACACTACTGAAAATGACCTTGTGCTGAAATGTATACTACATTTTTATTGTTCTATCGATTGTGTGTGTGTTTAAAATAAATAGGCGAACTGTGAAAGTTATGTCACGGTACTAGTGGATATATCACCTATTAATCATATTAATCAGTCATAAAGGATGATGTGCCTGTTGAGTATAGGATAGGAAACGAACTTTATTTTCTAAACAACAAGGCACTTTTATCAACGCTTTATTCCTAGAATCAGTGGACATGTCATGAACTTCATGCAGCCCTAATATTTGAGTAGAGTCACCGTGATGACGTTAAGGGCACTTTAATATAACGTTACATTGCGGCTAGCTTGTTATGAAGGGAAAACAACCTGTAACGGGGACCATCCATTATAATTATGTCACTGGAGAATAAAGGAGAAATAGGACATTTCAGACTTCCATGAAGTATTTTTTTGTTATTGTGAATTTTTTGAATGAAATTCATTCTAATAAAAAAACTTAAGAGATTGTATGGCGTACTTAACGCAAATCGTAGGCTTTCTGAATTCGACCTCTAAATACTGCTGGTTCGTGGCCACATTCTGTGACCTTCAAGTCCACCCCATTTCCTGTGCCTGGCCTTTTGACCTCCTCAGTAATTCTGGATATTAATCCCCCACCTATGTTTGTACAAACATACACACAAACCCATATAGACATTCCTACCCAAAACAATACTTCCGCCCGGCTCAGAAGTTAAGATTCATCACTTACTAGTATACTCGTACAGCCACAGTAGTGCGTCTGCCACCACCTTGACCATGCAGAGGGGTCTTCGTCACCCTGGCCAGCCCTGGCTCTGAATGTAAGGGTGCGTTTGTGCGTCCGTGTGTGTATCTTTATCACTATATACATGTGATTTTTCTACCTCCATGGTGATATTTGGCATGTTGGTAGGTCTTTGGAAGACAAAGGTCAAGGATAGTTTGCGAACCTTTGTTTTGCTATGCCACAATATATACCGTTTTAATACCCTGAATCAGGTCCCACTCACTATACATGTACCAATATAGACATGACTGTGCTTAGATATGTGGCGACTTGCGGTTTCACAGGGATAATCAGGTATTACTAAGTGAACTTTGACCTTTCATCTAACCCTAAATTTGACCTTTCCGCCATTTGCAGCCACACGAAGAGCACTAGCTCTCCTTTGTACGATTTTCCTCATCGCCGTATCATTCGGACATCATTCAAACATCATAATTACACAGGTAAGACCATTTATTTACACTCCGAGCTCATATTGATCAATACAATGCTAACCGTGGAGGGTTGTTTATCACTTTTGAGAGGTACGTTGATGAAGAAGATCAAGCTACCTTTCTTCTTAGGCATGGCCTGTGATGTCACTCTCTCTCCTCCCAGGACAAGTCCAGCTCGTTTTAAAACGTTCATACTCACAGACATAGCTTATACTACGTCCTATGACCACGATGGCCTTAAAACTTAAAAATTACTACTAGCTGTTCTAAATTATGTAACGTTATACCTTAATTAGTACTGTTATCTGTTGGTTCCCAGTCTGGGAATTTCGCTTGTACAAAATTATAACGGTACACACATTATTAGCTCTAGTTTAACTTTTAGGGGTTATTGATTCAGATTCAAATAATTTAGATTGTACTGAATTACAGTCATACTTTATACAATCAGTCAGTGAACTTCCTTTCTTTATAATTACATTTTTTCTGCATGGAGATCGATCATAATCTAGTGCATTACGCACCGTCCAGGAAAATTTTTGAACTACACGCAAGTAATTATAACATTCCTATAGATAACCTGGCCTGTTAGTGTTACACATTTTGAATATCTGTGGATGTGACTTAATTTATAATGTTATAAAGTATTTTGTGGGTTTTCAAAAGCCTTAAAGGCATAATTTACAGAGGCAAAAAAACATAGTCTAGTCAGTTTTTATACTTGTGAGTCCAGTATATGAAAGCCAGCAATTAGCAAAAGCTTCCTGTTGTTTTTCAGAGTCAGAATTTTTTTTCTATGAACTGAACCAGCACTGAAGCATCGGAAAGGAATTCAAATTTGCAGGGCAAATACATTGTCTAAGATGGAACAAGGTGAAGCTGAAAATTCTACTAGTCAAGAGACTGCATTGTGCATACCTAATGAAAGCCAGAGGCATTTTATCTTGAAAGAAAGTGAATATCAAGCAGAAAGTGGTCTTCTGACTGACAATGCTACTAGTAGTGGGATGCTTCACAAAGAAACACCCTTCCAGTGCGAGGTGCCTGATGATGTCTCGACACAGAATGGGAACTTGCAGCAGCATCATATCAAACACACAGATGCTGTCAGGTCCAGCCTTTCTAAACATCTAAGAATCCATGCAGGAGTAAAACCTCACAAGTGTGACCAGTGTGACTATGCAACAGTCAACAAATCTAACCTGCAGTCCCACATGCTTAAACACACAGGTGAGAAACCCTACATGTGTGGAGAGTGTGGCTTGAGGATGGCTTCCAAATCCAACTTATCAAAACATATGAAGAGGCATACAGGAGAAAAACCTCACAAGTGTAACCAGTGTGACTATGCTGCCCTGAGGAAAGCTCAACTGGATTTACACATGGCAAAGCACAGTGGGAAGAAACCCTATCAATGTGAAACATGTGGATATAGAACATTTACCTCAGTAAGCCTTTCAAAACATGTAAAGATACATAGTAAAGAGAAGCCATACAAATGTGACCAATGTGAGTATGCTACTGTCTTAAGGGGTAACTTGGACGAGCACATGCTCAAACACACTGGTGAGAAACCCTACATGTGTGGAGAGTGTGGCTTCAGAACAGCTTTCAGGTCGAATCTATCTGCACATATGAAGAGGCATACTGGAGAAAAACCTCACAAGTGTAACCAGTGTGACTATGCTGCCCGGAGGAAAGCACACCTGGACTTACACATGGCAAAACACGTTGCTGAAAACCCCTATTTGCGTGGACATAGGGCTTTTTCTGAGAAGGGCTTGCTGCAACATGTAGAGAAGTCGTTGGAATGTTGCCAAAGTGAGGACACAGAAACTATGTCCGGTCGTGCTGTACACTTGGTTGAACCCACCAATCAGAACCTCTCCTTGTGTGGTGAGACTGAGACAGCTAGTACATCTGCCCTATCCCAAGATAGTGTAGAATATCCTCACAAGGGTAATGACAGTGATTATGCCACAGTTAAAGAAGTCAGACGAGAATCACTCTCACACAAGCCAGAATCCACTGGTGAGAAATCCATCCTGTGTGACAGTGATGTCCAGGACTTCTCTACATCTGGCAAGTCCAGCCTGACTCTGCATACAGAAGGAGAACCTTACA